TGTGTGTGTGTGTGTGTGTGTGTGCTGGGTGGTGTGGGGAGATTCATGGCTTGGTACAGAGAGGGACCAATGCAGGCTCAACATCCACCTCCACGCCTGAAACAAGAATCTGGAGCTGACTCCCAGAAAAGCTGTAATTGGTCCTTTACAGTACTCATTTCCTTGGAAAAGCAAGTGGTCCGCGTCTATTAAAACTCCCAGCTGACAAGCAGCTTCCCTGCCCTGTCTTCCGGAGCACTTTACATTAAGAGGAAATCACTATAATCAAATCTCTACCTCTTTCTTGCTGCTAAAACGAGGTGCTTTCTTCCTAGATTTTTGCAGGGACCACTGATACACACACTCTCTGGATACAGACACACTCACACACACACCGACGCAGTGTAAACTCCCACAGCGTCCTGGCTCCCTCCTTCCAACACTTCCTCCTTCCCGCTCGTAAGAATTGCTGAACATTTTGCTCCAAACTCTCCAAGTCACCCACGTGTTTGTTCTCCCCTTTTGCTGTTCAATTTACTTCCCGACTTGACAAAGAGAAACTCAGTTGTTTCTCAGGCTTTTAGCTGCAATCCGGGGACCAGGCTGTCTTATCCACTCCCCGCGCCGTCTCCAGTCAGAACTGCATGGCTGACCCCTCCTCACTCTGGGGTGAGTGGACAGATTACTGGGTGCTTTCCGGCTCGAACCCCCGCCCCACCTTCACCCTTCCTCTCCTTCACCGTAGAGTAAACGGAATTCGCTGTTCAATCTCAATACCAGGGTGGGATGGAAGCGTGTGGGGAGAGGGGAGGTGCATGGCACAAATAACTGGATAACGCGCGCACACACAGACATACAAAATCCCAATGAACAATCATGCCATACTTTCGGGGTCTATTACACACACCTGAATCTTCCCCTCTCAAGCAAGGACAGCCACGCCCCTGTTCGCCCGCCCCCAATATCCAGAATATAATTTGACCCTGGGTGCAGCACTGATGGTGATAAATAAAGCAGCTAGGGGGATTTGAGAAGAGGGGAGGTGACCTTTTGACAGAATGGGGGAAGGGGCGCTCTCCACTCACCGCCTGAGTCCCTGGAACGACGAGGGCCAGGACATCCTGGATTTCTTCAGGCCAGGCCGGTGGCCAGTCTCCACCGCGTAGGAGGTGCGGTCCATCGCGCGGCAGTACAGGTAGCGCTCGGTATCCGAGTAGCCGCGATGCCGGACGCGGCTGCTGGCCCCGCTCGAGGCGTAGCGGCCACGGGCAGCCCCCGGTGGCGGCGGGGGTGGCGGCAGGGGGGGCGGCGGCGGTGGCTGCAGCGGGCACTGGGGCTGGGGCTGGGGTGAGGGCGGCGGCGGTGGGGGCAGGTGGTGGTGGGGATGCAGAACGCGGAACTGGGGCTGCCGAAGCGGGTACTGGTGGTGCTGCTCTTGCCTCCAGAGGTGCTTGGGGGCTTTGAGTGTGGCTCCGCCGGTGCCGTCGCTACCCTCGCCGCTGCCTGCCCGGGCCGGCACGCTGCTGCCCTCTGCCTCCATCCTGGCTCGGGGTTCCGCGCCCTGCTTCCCAGCCGGGGATCACCGCGATGGCCCGAGCGCCTCTTCGATGCTGCCGCCGCCGCTGCTTCTGGAGGCGAGCAGAGGCTTGGCTCAGCTTCCGACTTGAAGCCACCAGAGACTTGAGGCTACCGAGAGGGGGCTCTGCCAGCGGGAGCGATCACTAACGCGATAGGGCTCCCTTCACAAAAATAGTGGAAGAGACACGATCCCGTGCTCCCCAAGTCACTAAGACTGGGGAGTCTAGTGCGCGGTTTTGCCAAGGGTCGGTCCCTCGTTCCTCCCTTTCTTTCCTTGCTTCCTCCGTGCGCCGGCGACTAGAGCAGGAATTGGTAGCAGCTACAGCTGCAGAAGCAGCAGTGGCAGCTTTAGCCGCCTTCCGGGTCCAAGGCACCCAAACCCTGATCTCCGAGCTCCTGAAAAGTTGGACAGCTCCCGACCTACAAGCCCAAGCTCTGACTTTCTCTAAAACCACTCCAGCCAGTCAGGAGTCAGACCAGTGCTCCTGATCCTTCCCCTCCCAGTGCCCGCACCTCCCTCCCCCCACTGCTTCTCACTGCCCCGGAGATTGCTCTTCACCTCCGCTTGCCTCACTCCTCTTTGAGAAAAGGAGTTTTCCTGGCTAGTTCTCAGGTCTTCCAAAGATAAAAGATATGACCTGGCAAAGTTGTCCAGAGTAATATCGGCGCATCGCTGGAAAAAAAAAAAAATGGATCAGGATGAAGATCCAATATTTAGAATTAATTCAGTCTCTTTCCCTGACATAGGATAAAATATTGCATGGATCTTTCTCACAGCAGGGAGAATGTGCCTAGTATCTTGGTCCTGGAGAGTGGTCCTAGCTGGAAATCAAGAGGAGCAGTTCTTAATTATAGAGCCAAGGCTGAGGTCGCTGGCCACACTGAAGGCTGGGCACCTTTACCATTACAAACCTGTGGTTATCTTCAACAGTTACTACCTTCAGAGCCTGCCTGCAATTTTTCTTTCTGCCACTTACAGCAGAACACAGCTCTATTACCAAAGCATTTCAAAACATATTGTACCAATATTATTCCACAGGAATTAGAGTCATATTTGATGCTACAATCCAAATTCAACCTTTATCTTCCACTAATTAGTATCTTCCTACAATCTTGAATATTTTTAAGAAACCAAGAGAATTTCAGAAAAACACATAAGCATATTTATCTGTACCTTTTTAATAGTACCATATTATTTAGACATCAGACGTCATTTACTCATTGTTAAAGTAGTTCTAGATTAGTCTTTGTGGAAGTCACCGCATAACCATCAATTATTTGACATATATTTAGGACTCACATATATTGTAGGCAGAATAATTATTCTATTCTTTGCATGCAGTCTTAACATAATTGAATATGTATATTTCATGCATATCATATGATGAAACTAAAGCACACCAGACTTGGGAACACTGTATATCCACTCTTCAGAGTGCTGAAAATCCAATGCTCTCCACCTAGTGAATATTTGGTATACATGGCATTGGGAAAATAAACAAAAATAAATTCTCACTTCATTCATTAATAAAAACAGTACATGGAATGTACATATGTCCTGTTCTTTAAATAGCAGCAGTTCTATATAATTCTGTCCAAAAGAACCTTACCATCTCTGTGTTATTTATTAATGATTGTAAATGTCTCTGTCCTTCAACGTTTTGGTATGGGCACTCTGTTCATATGTGACCCATGCACAAAACCTGAGCAAGGCTGTCTAGGAGGATAAAGCCAAAATATCCCAAGCACCAGTTTTCCTGTGAAAGGCTGAAAAAAGGCACTCTCCCCATACAGAAAAAAAAAAAGTATGACTACCAGCAGTGGCCAAAGTATTTTCTATGCCTCAGAGTACATTGAGTCAGCATCTTCCCAAATGTGAAAGGAAAGAGAAGGAAGTGTTTTGCAGTATAAACTGCTTTTTTTCTTTTAATTAATTTCACTATTTACATTTGGAACCATTTCAAAGAAGTATACAACTTTCTTCTTTCCTCTGAAATGCTTGCCACCTTTTCTTCACTAGAATCATACCAAAATGAATCTCCTAACTTCTCAAATGCTAATAGTGCAAGTGATTTTTGATCCTCTTTCCAGATTAAACTGAATATTTCAAATCTAATCTGATTCTCACTCTTCTTTTAATTCATGTACACTTTCTTATTCCCCATTCATTTCTAAAACAGAATCTTTTAAAATAATAAATTGTTTTTAGTATATAATTACAATCAACATCTTTAAATACAAAAAAATCACTTAATATACTCCCAACTTGAAAAATCTTTTCAATTTCTCTTATAATCTCAGAAGATTATTAATAGTAAGCTTAATATGAGGTTCAATGTGTATCCTGTCTTTTATATAAAAAATAGTACTCCTATTATACACCCACAGAATCTTGTGATGTTTTTAATGATATATCATTTAACACAAATATATATATATATATATATATATATATATGTCTCACAATGTTTAATTAAAGATAGCAATTTGATGAATCCTATCATGTTTGGAAGAATCCTAAATATCATTGTAATCAGTAGTTATCAACCTTTACTATACCTAGGAGATGTACCTGTGGAGCTTTCTGAATCTTAGACCAGTGATCCCAAACTTTGATGTTATTAGAATCAGCTGGAGAGCTACTTCAGGATATACAGGCTCAGGCTCCTGAGAGTATAGTGCTTGGAGCTTTATACTTTCATAAAATTTGCAAATGATTCTGATTCACAATAAAGTTTAGGAACAGTTTACTTTCCTTAATAGTTGCTGTGACTAATGAAATCTATATTTCTGTGGCAGAACTGCAGCATCAATATTTTTAAAAGCATGTCATGTGCCAGGCAGGGTGATGCACACCTATAATCCCTGCAGTTTAGGATGTTGAGACAAGAGGATCTCAAGTTCAAAGCCAGCCTCAGCAAAAAGCAAGGCATTAGCAACTCAATGAGAGAGAGACTCCCTCTCTAAATAAAATATAAAAAGGGTTTGGGGATGTGGCTCAGTGGTGGAGTGCCCCTGAGTTCAATCCCTGGTAAAAAAAAAAAAAAAAAAAAAGTCGGGTGATTTTATGTATCATTAACTACTGATGCAGCCCTATTTTCTCACTGTATGGATGCCAAAACACATGGTACTGGTAGCTGACTTGTCCATGTGTCTCAAATACTTCCAAGCAAAATCAGCTTATAAACCCAGTTCTCATGAAAATATATGCTTGATTTATTTCTGTAGTTGGCTCTATGTTGAAAGAAAATCTTATACTCTTCAATAGTTGAGTATTCTCAGACTTCCATTTAAGAACTTTTTCTTAATCTAGATATTTCCTAATTGCAGTTAAAACAACAGAAATGTAAAATATTCAATAGACACATTGACTGCCTCTGATTATATGTCACATAAATTATCTATCTTTTCCCATCAACTAAACTTTTTTAAAGCATAAGTCTGAGAGAATCTTTGTGAATTATTAGTTTGTGAATTACTATATGGGACATCCTTCAAAGCTATCAATACTTACACAGTCAGCCTATTTGTATAAAAAGTGGAAAAGCAGTTTCATAATGATCAGGGTCTTTTCCCTGAACAAATCTAAACAAGCAGTTAGTTGATGCCATTACTATTAGATGGAGATCACATACTACCATCTTCTTCTGCCAACACATTTCAAATCTTCCCTAATGATACAATCAATCACTCAATGTGCTGCTGGGCAATTAACAAGGAAGAATATTCCTATCAATAATTGTGGGGAGTTCTAGCAGAAATGATGTCAATGAAAAACTAGCAGATAGCAAGCACAGTTTCTACCCCAAACAGAATGAACTGGTAAGCTGCACTAACTAAGGGTTCCTTTAGCTCTGGTTGATGAAAAACTTAAATGAGACTTTAATATGCATATATCCTATGCATTCCCATTTTGTTTATTGATTCATAACTTTAAAATTAGAAAATTTTATCATCAGATGTTGTCTTATACAATGCCCAACTGTCATCTAACTAGAAATATCCAGAGAATTCAGATTTCACCCAAGTCTTCAATATTGAATAGAAATGTTGTATAGGACATTTCTTTGTTATATGTGAAGGTCTCTTGC